TGACCCTTTGCCTTGCCTCATTTTATTTATCTTTCCCGTTGAGTTAATTCTCATCGGGCGTGCGCCGAAAAAGACGTCTCGTAATTATTTGATGGAACGGTTCGACGCGGCGAGAGAACGATGGTATCCAATATTATATGGCTTGAATATATTCGGGGTGTCACTATTATTATTTATAAGCTAATGGTATAGAGCGTCGGTGATCGATCACACGGGTAAGTAATTCCAAGTTTCCAGTCGCCGCGCGCTCGCCGTGACGTCAATCACTCATGGTAAGTTCTTACTGCGGCAATAATACACCCGTCGCCTTATCGCCTCGCCGCATCGATCACCCACCTTCGTCGAGCTACTACCGCACATCGAATTTCAGAATTGTTCGGTACACATCGTTACAATAACGACCCCCGGCATCGCTTCCACCCCGTTTCTCCAGACTGCCGTTTCTCGTTTCCGACGTCGCCAACTGCACACCGGTGTGCCATCATCTTTATTGCGTCGCACAGTCGACGCGGTTACGATATCGATGGCAATATAGATATTTACCGAATAACATTAATCGCCTTTAATATCTATTCTTGTTCAATCTATGTTGCGCGTATCTGTCCTTTCTGATTTAGAACGTATATCGTTTTATTTTATTTTATTGTAATATATTAAATATTTTAATTACATTTCGCAAAATAAAAAAAAGAGAAAAATTCGATCTAGGCTAAATTAAAATTGAATCGGGTTTGGGATCTAACTATTCTATTTCAATTTTTATCGATTTATTAATTTATTCGTTGCCGGATACTATAATATTTTTCTCTGGATTTGAAAATAATTCTGAAATAAAAAAGTTAACAAAGATTATTACAGAACTGATCCGCAATATTTTCCTCAGCGAGTCATCCTTGCGCGCTCGCTTTTCTTCCGCTTTTGTATGAGGAAGATGGGGACGGGTCTATTCCCAGGGGAGTCCTAGAGCATAATAAATGTCCGTCTATCTGGCCATCTCTTATTGCGTTCCGGCGATATGGTGTAAAGAAATAAAGTGAGGGACCGAAGGCATAAAAGGGTGACGGTGGAGAATTTCGCGTAAAAAGGAATAAGATACGCGAGATAAGGACGTAGAGAAGGACGCACGATGACAGGCGCTTATATGCAGCACGTGACGTAGATTGCGGCAAAAAGGATAAGGGAGGAAAAGATCATTGAAAAAAGCGACGGCGGGAAAACCTATTTTACGTCAAAGTCGTTTATTCCCATGAAAAAAGAATTTTTAGTGCCGTTGGAAGATCGTGACGCTCGTGACTTTTATCGCGATCAAAGTTTACTTCTGAATTCTCACGTTACACAATTTACTTTAGTCACGTTATACATAGCAACAATATATTAAATGATTAATTGAAATTATTTTTCTCATAAAAAGTGATCCCTTTTTAAAACTTGCAACTTTAATTCATAAAAACGCATTTGTGGAGTTTGCTATGATAAAGTAAAAATAAAAGAATGGTCAGCAAATATACGATATTAACGAAGAGAACCGTTAGAAACTGAACGATGGAATATACTCAGAGAAGAGACAAATGTCCTGAAAAAAACGAGCATTATTGCGGAACTCTACTCGTAAACGAATAAATCGGTACACACTCTAACAATAAGTAGAGACCGGAGTAACTCAACGACGCACTCTTTGTCCACCAGTAGTTGTAAAAGTGAACGATGCTTACGGAGAAAAAGGTCGGCAGTATCAATAAGACGCAAGATGGCTAGAGGATACGGAAGGAGAGATAAAAGCTCCGCACTTATTGCTAAATCATGAACGAACCGAAGTAGTACAAGTCTATGCGACGATCTTTTTACGTCGACGCAAAAAAGCATAGAAAATCACATATATTTGGGAGACGGGTAAATATAAATATAAAAACAGAAAAATAATGAAAATGATAATAATCTGATGTTGATTAAATATTTACATTTGCAAACAAATTAGCAATATTTATACGCAAAATTGATAAAAGTATAAAGTTACTAAGCGGAAAGCAAAAAATTAGGAGAGTGAGAAATTTGTTGTAATCTAGGAAGAATACGCTGCACAAACTGGAAATAATATACAAGAGAAACATAATAAGAACAGCAATAAAAAATTGGTTTCAGGTGCTACATGAAATAGATCTTCCAAAAAAAAAAAAATAAAATTAAAAATAAAAAATATAAGTACATATTTTTTTGTTTCTTAGTTTCTAGAAAATATGTCAAAGGCCCTTTAAAAAATACTTTCTGATTTAGCCTGGACAATTTCAATAGGTAATGAGATTCAGAAATAACATGGAAAAATACAGCAGTGAGATAGAGAATAAACGCGAGGAAATGCAAGGATCTTGGTAATGCTACACAAGGTACATCGGTAAAGCCGGCATTCGAATGTCGTTAACTGTGGCAAAGGATTGCGCAGACGTGCAATCGTGTGCATGCAAAGTTGCAAGAGGCCAAGAAACGGAAAATCACGTAAACGGATCCAGACAAATCGCGGGGTATGCGAGTAAAATGTGAAGCGAACCAGAATGGCGAACTAAGGGGATGATGATAATACTTGTAAGCTTATAAAGTGGCACGCGCGTGGCAGTCGAGTTGTTGGATGAAGGGCCGCTTTTATTACGGCTAAAAATCGATGACCGTCTCTCATAGCAGATAAGAGAGAAGCGAAAGATAAACGAGGTCAAAGCAAGTGAAAGCATACTAAAAGTAAGACAATGTATAAAAATCAGGAAACGAGATTAGATTAAAAAAAAACAAACAAGAGAGTTCGACTTGAAAACTATACATAACCGAGAAGCTGTTATACCTTCTGCTTGTGTGTTGTCGTTACAGTCGATGCAATTATATAAAATACAGGTAAAGATCTTCATAAAATGAATTATCTTCCTGTGAATTACAATATTTAAAATAAAATAAAAATTATATAAAAGAGATCTCAGAGAGAAAGAGAGAGAGAGAGATACATAGAAAAATAGCAAAAAAGATATTAAAAATTATTTTAACATTATATTAATATAAAAATGACGATAGTAAATAAATATACGCGATGAAAAATACGTGACGAGATAAAGGAACGTCAGCATGATAAAATAATAAAAATCAATGAAATTTTGTATGAAAAGATAAAAATAAATAGCGTTGTGATCGTTAATGTCGATGTGAAACGCGAGAGAAAGAGATGACAGGGATATTGTTAAAGTATTATAAAGATAGGACACAGATAAGGGATTATATAGAAGATACAAAGCATCTCCTCCGAGACTGAAAGAAGAGCTCTATGATAAAAAGTTGAGATAAAATAATGTAGAAAGAAAGAAAAAAAGCAAAGTGTGTGAAAGCTAAAGCGAGAGAAAAAAGTGGATAAAAATGTGATGAGAGACTTTGAATTTCCAAGCAAAACGAAATGCTGTCTCATAGATACATCGTGCTCCAAATAGCATTGGCAAAATAGTACGTCGAGAAATTAATGATACATCAAAAAGATTATCTATGTAAGTTCTTAGCATCCGATTCGTTCTCTCGTTTTCTAGCAACAAAAATATGACCGAAATTGTTAAAAATAATTTCTGGGAACATAATATATTGAACGTATAAGCAATTTCTGGACAAGAAATGAATTATTATATTCGCGGTAATGCAATGTGATATCTTAAAAAATATCTTTAAAAATATCTTAAAATTACATAACTAATCTCTTGACAATACGAGAACTTAAGTCATTTTCTTCTGGATTACACGGCGCGTCCATTTAAGATAATAAGCACAAGAGAACGTTAGCGAAAGTTAGATGCTAAATAAAGGGTGGAGAAAATATGAAGACGCGGATGGTGAGAAAAGGTAACGTGTGAAGGGGAGCGGCCGTAAAGATGGGTAAGTTGATGAAAAATAAAATGGCCGTGACGATGCATCTCTCGGAGCGGGAGCGAGCCGTCTCCTCGAGGAAGAAAGACACTCTTGACGGTGTTCCGCTTTAAAGATAACGAAGCGAGTTCTTCGCGGAACAAAGCTTGGTAACCACCGCCGCCGCCACCACCGTCGCAGCGGTCGCCGGAGTGTTTGCCGAGACTGTCTCCAGCAGCGCGACAGGAGCGACAGGTGGCTTCGTGTGCCCGCTTTTTCACCCCTTCTCAACCTTCCTCTTTCTCTCTCTCTCTTTCTTTGCCGTTTCTCCATCCGTCATTTCCTCCCGATTCCTCGCCTCCGAACTCACTCGCACCGTTGGCATTTGCTCGGGGGTATGATTTAAAGTGTAAACTTAAATATTCTAGTTGGTACCTTTGTGCAAATAGATTCGATATTAATGGATCTTCAGCACCTCACCGACAAAAAGAGAGGGAGAGGAAGGGAAAGAAAGGGAAAGAAAGAAAGAGAGGATATTTGAACATCCGGCGCAAGAAATTTTAATAGCACAAATCGAGTTATTTTCCTTAATATATTTCGTGTAATTAAAAAAAGAAAAAAATATATAAATGCAAATGAAATTTTTATAAATTGTAAAATAAAAGATTGATATATTATAGATATAACAACAAGTAAAAATTCAGAGATATAATGACAAGAAAATTAACATAGAGAAAATAACATCTAAAATAAAATATTCTTTTCGCATAACTCATGTAGTTATTCCATCCAGAGCTCCATCAAAGAAATCGCAAGTAATCGCGTCGAACGATGCGCAAAACGTTTTCGATCTTACTTTTCCCGTCTTCTTTCTCCCTTTTGGAATGATTGATTTGTAAGAAGATGATGTGGCATAACCACATATTTCGGTTTATACGTAAAATAATTATTGATTTGCTCTTTTCGAATCTGCGATGAACTTACCTGCTGTATGTATAGGCAGTGAAAGATATTTCATGTATATCTTTCTTGCAATAAAAATCTGAAGAAGCAGTTCGAGGCAGTAGTCGTCTTCTTTAACACCTCGCTAAACTATATAAGGAGGAAAAAGGAGTCGCATAAAATATATATCCGTCGTATATTAGAGAAAAATAAAGGAAGCTTTATTCTTCACATATCATAGCAGGCGATACGAGTCGGCAGCGCGTGGTCGATGTGAACGCGCGCGTCGCCAACGACGCAGAGATATAAACGAATATCGGTAGGAAGATCGGGCCGGTAGGGGATCTTGGGGTACACGGTAATGTCACGATAAGAAGGGCTCCTCTTCCTCGTTCGCGCGGGGTCGTATAATACACACACCATCTTCTCTTTCATCGTGTCTTCATGCTCGCTCTCTCTATCACCTCCTCGGTCATCCTGCATTTCTTCAGGTCACGCCAAGATCGCCGCCAGTTTGTGCAGATTCGTTATGGTCGTTGCGTCGCCCGGTTGCAATCTAAGCGCCTCCCTGTAAGCCGCGGCGGCCTGCTTGTACTTGCCGTTCAGGTGTAGGATCGCCCCGAGATTTGTGTGGCTGCGGGCCTCGTGCGGCCTTAGATTAACCGCGTGTCGATACCAGATCTCGGCCTCATCGCGACGATCGGCCTGCCGAAGCGCCGAGGCTGCCGCGACCGACAGTTCGTAGTCGGATCGCGACAGCTCGGCCGCTCGCAGCTGCTCCTCGGCAGCTTCCACCAATCGGCCCTGCGACGTCAGGAACAGCCCTGAAAATTTTGTAATCAAACATTGTCGTGTGTCGCGAGGAATTACAGCATAGAAATCGGCCGTTCGTACAGATCGTATCGTTCTTGTTAATTAAATTACTCTTAATGGACTTGTTGCGCTAAATCAAATAATCGTGTACTTAATTGTATACGAAGATCTGTAGAAAAAGATCTGTTTAAAAAAATTTATTATTCAAGTTCTATAAATACAAATAGGCATGTCGTTTATATAGATTTACCTCTGAAGTAGATTAAAAAATTTTTCAAAAGCTTTTTTGAGGGAAATGTTTTGATTGAGAAAATTAAAAAAAAAAAAGACGGAATGAGATTGCAGAATGCAAATATGATGAAAAAAACAGAATTTTTTTCACATTGATGTTTTTGAGGCCTTTGAAAAAAACCTAATTGAACACGAGAAAAGCTTCAATTACAAATGTGGAAAAGAACAGTATGTTTTCATGTAATGTTCTTGAAAAAAATATAATGGTCTTTGAAAGAAATTTAAGTAAAACACGAGAGCAGCTTTAATTAACGAGAAAATAAATATATACAACACTCATTGAATCTTTATACTCTTTTAATCTTTTACAGAGAGCTATTTCACTTTATTATTAATTATAAAAAACAAAAAATAAAAAATCTCCAATTTTGTGCAAATTACATTTTCTTAACATCTTATTTGAGCGAATGGAAAAAAAAGATAAGCGATGGCAAGATTATCTTAATATCTCGCGCGCGAATTAATGCGCCCGATGTTCTGAAGCGTTGCCGAGTTTCTTTCCGGAATTTCAATACCCTCGATTTCCGTTTTTCCCCTACATCTCGATTTATTCCCGTGCTCTTTGGTATCCGCCCTTTTTTTTCGATTAGTCGGTCTGCCTCCCTTCTTTCACTCCAGATCTACTATCATCCCGCAGGAAATATTACAGCGGTATTTATAGCGGCTCGACGGAAGAAACGACGATCCTCTTATCTCCCCCTTCCATTAAGCGACTCTTCGAATCTTGGTTCTTTGATTCTTTCCCGACGCGAAACTCCCCGCGATCGAGGGGAGAAGCTTCGAGGACTCCTTTTCAGGACAGATTCGAGGATCGGGAATCAATTATACCATTGTTACAATGGGGCTTCGACTGCGGCGACCGACGGGGAATACGTTCGACCGGGTGCAAAGACGGGATGCTTAAGAGAGCGTATTTCATTGCTTTAATAATGAACGAAGGTCTCTTATCGTCGCCGCAACGACTACAAATACGGGCATTAGATATTTAAATTTCGATGCGGTTGAGAAAGGAATTCCGGCCGACGCGACGGGAAGGCGAAGGGGATGATGTTGGAAAAACGAGATGGATAATAGGCGGGGACGATAACCGGAGACGTCTACTGTCGAATTTCGAACGAAAACGACGCTTGCCCGCGGTCGCAATTAAAGGAGCTTTCGGTTGCGTCTTACCGTAATGATGGTGCACGCTGGGGTCGTCCGGCGCCAATCTGCGTGCCCTCAGAAACCATCTCTCCGCTTCCAGGACACGGCTCGACTAAAGAGAGAGAAAGCAGAGGCGACTTGTGAGCCACCGCGAACTCGATAGCCCTGTCTGTCCCCCCTACCCCTGGCGGTTGCTACCGGCTGAGGAGCTTGTTCTATTGCATTGAACAACATTTTTGAATATATTTATTAAATTGTGTATCTGTATGTGTAACGCTGAATATAAATATATCTCTAAAAATAATGTAAAATATGAAAGAGATTTAGAGACATATCGAAAAAAACCGGAATTTTTTAAATTACAATAAGCACTATTCTTCAATTTTTTTTTGCCATAGAAATATATCGCATTTTTGTCGACAAAGTCTAATATGCAATATGTCCATTCGCAAAATTCAAATGTTACAGAAAAAACTGATAAAAAAATCTGATGGAAAAATCAGAAAAATACAATAGGTTTATATTCAACGCTGAATTTCCTAAAGAAAAAACTTTATTTGGTATATTCTAAAAAAAAAACTTTGCTTGTCATCCATTGTTATTTGTTGAAATCACCGGGGCACAATCGATATCTGACGCAAATGTAAATATAGTTTCGGAGTACAAGAGCCGGGAGGAGCGGGGACTTTATGTGTTGACCCAAATATATTTATGCCGCGTATCGCCCAATAGTAGTTTCTCAAGTGGTAACGATCGATATGCAGTCAGACGCGGAAAGTAGATCGCGATAAGATGAAACAGAGCGGCGACGACGGGTAAAATTTAAAAGCGAAAGAACGGCGGCTACTTACGTTCCGTGCCAAAAGTTTCCCGTAAGTGATGTGGGCCGGCACGTGGTCAGGCTGGCTGGCCAAACTCGCCTGGAACCACCTCTCCGCCTCCGCGTACTGTTGCAGTCTGGACAGCGTTTCGCCTAGCAGATTATACACGCTCTGGAAAAGAAGCAGACAAGAATTCTCCTTTGTGTCATCTAATCTCTTTCGCCATCACTAAGGAAGTTCAAGAATTTTTTTAAGAATGTTCTGAATTATTCTCACTCCCTTCCATCTACTTGAGCTCTTTGATTTAATTATTTTTTGGAGTCTTTTTTTTTGTATCAAAGATGCAATTACATGTATTGTGTCTCTCTATTCATAATTCTCTAACATACAGCTTTATCATTGTAATTAACAGCATAATTAAATATCATTTCAGACCAAGACAACATTTATATTTAAATAATTGTGCTGTCTCCCCCAATTGCGCCACAGCCGAACTTAATTCAGGAAAATTCTAAAATTTTTTGATAATTTATGTCATTATAAATTTAAAAGCCTATACTAACTATATGTATTTTTCATAGAATTTAAAGAACCGTACATTAAAGAAAAACTCAATCTCCCTTTACGCTACTTAAATATGCAAATATCGGTTAAAAAATATGTTAAGCTTGAAAAACGCACGAGCACGGGACGCAACACAACCGGAAACTATATTTACAAGAAAATCACGTGTGGATCGAAGCGCGAGAGTGTTAGCGTGCCGAGAGATAATTATGCTAATAAATTCAACAACTAATAAATTTGCCGACAACTAATTCACAAAGTGTAACAAATTGCCGCGATGTATGCAGACGCGTGTACGCGTTTTAATGTGCGTTACAATATAATAATAATCTCTTAATTACCTTCAATTTAGAAAATGTGATTGCAAGCGGCAGAATGCTGAAATGCGCCACTGCTGCGTAATTAATTACGCTTCAATGTGAAGGATCATTTCCGAAATTTTCATCACGAATGAATCGCAATGTGGTATTTTAACACAATAAATAAAGAAAACAGGCCGAGAATAATCGATTCCGGAAGAAAATTTGAAAAGTTCACTGATTTTTAAAATCGAACGGTTGTTACTTATTAGAACACAAATATGTATATGTGTCGTTTGTATGCGCACAAATTTGTGTATTTATACATAAATTTACAATCATTGCAAAAATCAAAAAGTATATAACGTTATTTACTAAGCTACTAATTAATATTCTCGTTAAAAAAATGTTAAAATAAAAATTAATAGTAAAAGATAAAATAGAAAAGGAATTATACAGACTACATTAAAAAAAAATAAATTAAAAAATTAAAATGTTAAAATATTGGAGATGTTAAAATAAAATTTGCTTGAGCAATGTATAATGTTCGAAGATAATTAGAGACTTATAAACATTAAAAAAGAATTAATTCCAAATTTTACAAAATAAGGTTACATTTCCATTTTATATCTTTTTCTGGAATATCCTGTCTGACACATACAAATACTGAGAAGTAGCAAAGCGATCGGGAGCGCGTCACGAGGCGGCTAACATCGAAAACCTTCTTCTCAGGCACACATGAGAGACCGCAACTCCGTCTTAAAGTTGTAGTAGGCTAAAACTTTTATGATTTTGTTCGAGACGAGAGCCCGCGAGCCGTCGGTGAGACAGCGTTATTGAAGAGCGAAGTCTTTCACGGATAGAGAAGACAAATGGCAAGGCGCAAACGAGAGACAGGAAAAGAACGACCTAGAATATCCCCTGACTCAATCGTCAGACTCGATTGCCTCGTGATTCAATAGATCCCGCGGTTTTCTCATCGCCGTGAAAACATCTCGTGGGGAATTGTCGCTACGCGATTCCAATCGGCAGCACTGCGGGAGAAAATTGGAATGTTAATTGATACTTTTATTCGAAATGCTTTATTACGCTTGTATCGAAATTACTCTGGTAATTTATAATTGAGCAAATCATTTGTAGATAAATATATTTCGCTGTTCTGAATTCCAATTCTGCAGGAATAATTTTAATTTGATATAAAATTGTATATATCATAATTATATCTCAGCAAAATGTATCTTGTTGCACAATAAATATTATTATTATATTTTATCGCGAAAATGTTGTCACATTGTCATGAATTGCAGGATGGAATAACAATTATATTAACTGTCGCGCGAAACAGCGTTACACATCATGAGCAAAGATAATGAAAAGAAAATCTTAATGTATATCAGTTTTCACACAATTATTCCGACAATTTTATCGGACTTCATTTCCTACTTTTCTGCGTCTCTCGCATGTTATTCGGGAGACGCTCTATATTTCGGGATTCGAGGATAACGTTTGCACGTATTTTTTTTTGTCACATACTCCAGCGTGTGATTATGTCCGTGACGAATGTTGCCGCTTTGTGATCGCGATCATTATTTTCTCACTCATGCGGCAAAAACACGGTGTCGACTTCTGAATAGGAAACGCGACGAGCGCCGCCGTTGCATCGCGTCAAAGAATTGCGCCGGCAAAGTCGCGCGCGCGTAAAGCAACCGGCTTTCCCCGTGCGCGCTCGCATTGTTCCGGATCATTATTCACTTGGACTACTTTTCAAGGATGTTGCGCGTACTTGCTTAGGCATAATGCTCGCTCGAGCTCGCGGCACACAAAGCGATGCTTCTACCGATCGACGCGGCTTTTATGCACTCGAGATGGTTCTCACGCCTTTCTGCGCCGTGGTTGAGGAATAATGATCTCGGGGTCGCACATCCCATTTAATACCGCGATATATATGATATAATGACGTATGTTGACGTAATGATATATATCGAGAGAGATTAATATAGATTGTTTTCCCCATAATTATCAAAGAGATACTTTAGGTGTCAATTTTCCGAATTTCAAATTGATTTTTCTTGAGAAACATATCACACACACAAGGCAAAACTTTTCAATTTTCGATATTAAATTTTCTATTCAAGATAAGCTTTGAGTCTTTAATTTTCGATAACGTAAAGCCAATTAATTGTAAATGACGATTTATGCAGTTGTGCACGAACCATGAAACTTAATTGCAATCGTTTCGATTCGTTATGATTTTTTTAATTAAGGGCTAATTAAGTTTGTATATACCCGCTATTTCATTTATGTATCTCATCGTTCGGCGAACCTTCAAATTTCCTGTAATTATAAAATATCTGGCTATTGCGCGCACTCATCGCGTAATTACTCCCATCGTGTTTACATTTATGTCGCAGTCAACGAGTATTCGGCAATTTCCAGCGATTGGCCGGAATGTCTGCTTTATAGTGCGGTTCGATGAATGTGTAATCAAGCCTTGTATGATGGGAGTTGACGGTATGCTGAACACGTTTTGACTTTTCAAAAAATAATAGGATATATTTTTTCTCGATTCTGTCATCGCCGGACCGGATGGATGGTGTGTACATTTCCCGATCACGTAAATTAATATTACCGGATCGATGAATAGTTAAGTGAACGTTGGGACATTGTCCCACTTGATATTAAACCGATCGGAAACACGCCACGCATTAACCGGAAGCATTTAAAATCACGTTACTATTAAATCCATTCTAAATAATTACATATCCGTCCTATTACGGTATACATTCAAATGGACGAGGATCAATCGATGATCAATATTTTCGGATGCATCACGGAAATGAATGGATTAGCAATATCGTTATTTGCTGTCACATTGTAATGTTTGGTTAATCTAAAGTTTCTTTATAAATGATATATACATATACATATATATATATATATATATATATATATATATATATATATATACAAAGAAATGCCAAAAAAATGCTGCAAAATCTAAATATAACACATATATCAATGGTGTTTTTGTATACGCAAACCATATATATGTGTGTGTATGTATGTATATATATCATAGTACATAAAATTTTTCGGCAGCAAATTATCAATAATATGGTATTCCGCGCTGCGTAAACATTGTCGCGCTATCATTTATGTACCTCGACTCTGTTATCATTCGCGCGACAACATTCGAGCAGGAAAATAGTCGTGCGAGACGCTCCATCGAATAAGCTCCGTGATATATTAATCTTTTATTAAATAAATGATCTATAATTTAAAATATTTGTTTTATTATTATTCCGCTTGTATATACATCATAGTACGTAAAATAGTTCGGCAGCGAATTATCAATAACATGGTATTCGATCTCGGCGGCGTAAACAATAGCGCGCTAATGTTTACGTGCTTCGGCCTTGTTATCATTCGCACGACGACACTCGAGCAGTAAAGTAATAGTGCGAAACGCTCCGTATCTTGTCAAATTTCTTTTCTAAACGCGATAATATATCCGCGGATAGCTTGTCGCGTCATCGGTGCCGTCATCGTGCCGCGGACGGCTTTCGCGTCTTTCGCGTCATTAGAAAGAAAGACTTTTACATAAGTCCGATAAATGTTTCCATTATTAAAAAAAAGTCTTTTCAAAATTTATAAAATTGTTTCGTATTTATGTATCTGCTTATTATATATAAAATATCTATATAATAGGATATAAAATTCGGCATGTAAAGTAATAATTTTTTTAAATATTAATTGTATTTTGGGCGCTGCTTTAATTTGGATTTTATATTTGTATGTTACAGACAACGTAGCCTCAAGACCAACAACTCCGCTGTTGCGCATCAGTGCCGGTGAGTGACAAACTTTTATTTATTTTTAAAGTAACGGATTTGTAGAGATTGTAGATGAAGATTGTAGATGTAGATTGTATATGTAGATTGTAGATAAATCCGTTACTTTTAAATGGATGAGCTAAAATAGATCAAGTTGAATAACTTTTAAGTTCTTTTGATTTGCATCTATTGCAAAAGTAAATTAAAGTTTAAATTAAAAAAAGAAAAATTATAGAAAATATTTTTTTCCAAATTTGTAGATTTTATTTAATTTATTGAATAAAAAACGCTAGTAATTTTATCAATTATATACGTGTGATGTATACGTGTGATGTATACGTATGTAACTCATTCTTAACGCACATCTTATCCTTATTTCTTAGCTCATCCATATCGTAGAATTTGTTTGTAGACGTTGTTCTTAAACTTTATTTTAACTGATACAAGAGAGATCAAATGATCAATCAATTAAATT